ATCAAGAAGACAAAGATTCTCACCACTGGGCCAATTGAAAGCACCATAATAGATGGTGAAGCAATTGAAGTTGTTAGCAATTACAGCTTGCTTGGATCGACAATCAACATTAACACCAGCAGTAAGGAAATCAAAACATGAATTGCATTGGGAAAATCTGCTGTCATGGATCTCTCCAGAGTGCTGAAGAGCAACAATGTCAGTCTAGATACAAAGGTACACACCTAATCCAGGCCATGGTCTTCTCAATTACTTGTTGTGCTTCAGAGAGTTGGACAGTGACTAAGGATGACAGAAGAAGACTATATGCTTCTGAATTGTGGTGCTGGAGAAGAGTCTTGAACATACTGTGGAATGCCAAGAAAACAAATCATTCTGTCTTGGAGAAGGTGAAACCAGGTCTCCCCTTAGAGGCTAGGATTTTAAAGCTCCATCTGATAAACTTTGGGCACATGGCCAGGAGAAACAGGTCCTTGGAGAAGGACATCATGCTCAGAAGGGTGGAGGGACATCGCAGGAGAGGAAGAAGACTCCTAATGAGACAGATTGATAAAGTATCTGGAGCAGTGGGGCTTGGCATATTGCATTAGTGAGACTGGCTCAAGACAGAGAAGGATTCAGAGCTACTGTACATCTGGTCGCTATATTTCGCAGCTGACTCAACAACACATAACCGCAACAACATACATACTATATTGGTTGTTTTTTTATTTAAGCCTCTTGTTTAGAGTCAACAAGACCTTGGGGAGGGACTTTGTATTTAAAGTTGGTTCTTATATTTTGGAAGAACATTCTTCTAAGTGGTACAGTACTCTTCGGTCAATATGCTGTATTGAGGTAACCTGAGGTTGTACTGAGGTTGCTATGATGGTGGACCTTGTGTCATGGGGGTGCCAAATGCCATAACAGTTACCCGTGGTGGACAGTGTTTGTAGAGCTCCCAGTTTAAGACAGGTTTGGAAGCAGAAGTGGCATCCCCTTCCTAAACAACATATCTCTGGAAACTCTATGAACTTTGATAAATGTTGATAGTTATAGAAAGACTTGAGACGTTTTTGTTCATAGGGTGGCTGTGAGTCATAAATCAGCAACAACAACATTACCAAAAAATTGTTTTCTCCTCAGATGATTCATATTTTATTTCTTTTTTTCCTAGACAACACCACCTCATGTTATTGGCCAATTGGATAAACTTATTAGAGAGGTAAGATGAAATAGTAAAGAAAATAATTTTCGTTTGGAATTAAGGAAAGACTGAGTGCAAATAGTACTGTATTTGTGGAGTTTTATGTTCCTTATAATAAAATAGGAGCCACCATAGTGGCAAAATTAAAAAATTGTGAAGAATTACTCAATTTGGAAGCCAGGTTCACTTGAAATAAATGTGGAAAGTGTTGATCTAAAGACTTTCATTCAGATATAGAAATACTGTGTTAGGGTTGTGTTATTTTTCCTTGTTTCTTTAAAGTTTTATAGCTTTGCATAAAAAGCTGTGTTTTTAAGATTATAATCACACCTAGGATTTTAATAAAGCTATAAAGTAGTTTTAACAAAATGTGCAAAGAGCTGAAGTAAAAAAAAAATAGAAGGGAAGAACTCACTTGACATTTCTTAAACTAAAGAACTGAAAAACAAATTCAGCCCTTTAGGTGCATTACTATGGGCAAAATCTTGTATGAGCCAGGAAGCTTCAAAAGAAGATGAAAGGAATACACAGAGTCACTGTTTAAAAAGTATTAACTGATGTGGAACCACTTTAGGAAGTAGTACATGACCAAGAACCAGTGGTAATGAAGGAAGAAGTTCCGCTGCACTGAAGGCATTAGCAAAAAAAAACATGCACCAGGAATTGATGGCATGCGCTCACCGAGCTTTGCTAAAATATCTGGACGACAGCTTATGTGGTCACCTCACTGGAAGAGATCCTTTTTTATCTTGATATCAAATAATTTAATATCAATCACTTATACGTAAAATCTTATAAAGATTACCCAAAACCTGCTACAATAGTACATTGAGAGCTACCAAAAATTCAAACTGGATTTAGCATTCAAGCAGGCTGTGGCATGAGGGATATCATTACTGATGTCAGATGGATCTTGACTGAAATCAGAGAGTACCAGAAGAATGTCTTTTGTGTTTTATTGACTGTGCAGACTTTTGACCACATGAATCACAACAAATTACGACTAACATTGAGAAGAATAGGAATCTCAGAACAATTGTACTCATGTGAAACATACAAAATAGGTTAAGAACCTATTTTGCTAACAGCCTTCAATATGGATTATATCTCCACATCACGAAAACTAAAATCTTCACACTAGGACAGTAGGCAGCATCATGATAGATGGAGAAAAGATTGAAATTGTCAATTAGTTCATCTTACTTGCATCTCCAGTCAACTTTAGAGTCAATACTGATAAAGCAGAAATGATATCATGAGTCATTGGAGTCATCGCTTTGCTAATTAGTGTCCTCTTATAAGGCTTAGCTATGTATGCATTTCTGGGCTTACAGAGAGTCTATGATATGGCTGACCTGTGCTGGATGTAAAATAATGAAGCATCTTTGATAATTTATTTCTGTATTTTGTTATTAGGTGTCTACCTTGGATGGAGTTTTGGAAGTTCGAAATGAGCATTTTTGGACTCTGGGTTTTGGGTCATTGGTATGTTTTCTATATTATACTCTATAATTTGAAACCTAGTTTTTCATTTTTCAAATGGAAAAATACATTTCTTTAAAATACATTCCTAGGACCTTCGATTCTCATTTCTGTTCGATAGGATTTAACATGCAGGTAGATTAAGTAAATCTACTAGAAACTGAGGGATAGTGATTTTTTTTTCCAAGTAATCTGTTGTTAATACTAGACAAAGCCATGATTAATTCTTAAATGAGAGGTGCATGTTAAACTATCTTGGTGAAACAGTTGTTTCACCTGGTGAAATACGGTATTAGTAGTGTAGCATTAGAACATGTCTAAATTCATAAGAAGGAAGGATGAGAATCACTCAGCTCAAAGCCACTTCTTCTAAACTGATTTCTATGCTCCAACCTCTTTTACCTCTTCTGACACTTGCTGTCCCTCCCACAGTATTTTCTACTTTTTTGCTGAGTCCAGTTATCTGTCACAGTAGATACCCAGAACTTACAGACTATGCTTATAGTTAAATGGTATATTAGCAAACTAGGTACAACCTGGGATCAGAATCGGAAAGCGCCTAGGCGGAAGTCTGCCGTCTGAAGTGCAGGATGGCTCTCTCAGCTGCATAAACTAGCAGGTTCTTCTCTCTGCCGTATATTCCTCATCTCAGCTTTGCAAATCTTGGCTGAGTCCCTCCCTCAGAACAAGCAGCTCCTCAAATGTCAGGACAGGCTCTTCTTGGCCTGGCTGTCAGCACCGCCTCTACCACAGGGCCCTTGTAGGCTTGTCACTATTGGCTGTGCAGCTGACTCCCTTCAGGACATCTCACTGTCTTTGTTCCTCTAGCCACACAATACAGTGATTTATAGGAAGTTATTTGCGCTCTGCTCTTTCTTTCTCTGATCTTCCTCCTGACTTCATTTTCTTTTTGCTCTTTTTCTTTCTGCCTCTTTCTCTGTCTGAAACCTTTATAGGGCTGACTGCTTATATCTGCAACTCCTTGTTAATGTCAAGGCACAACGCTCCCACTGGGGCCAGGAAACTTGATCAGTCCAGTCATTGTAGACCACAGACACTTGATGTGCACAGTCTGTGCAGCTTCACTTACCTAGTAAGACCAGTCCCTTCAAAACTCATTATTTCATTGCTGTTGACTCAGTTTTGTATCATAGTGACCCTTTACTGGGTTTCCAAGGCTAAATCACAATGGCAGAAGATGGCTCATTTTTGTCCTTGTGAGCAACTGGTGGAGTCAAACTTCTGGAGATACATCCCATTGGTTAGAAAGGTCCCTAGGTCACCCGAGCTCTCGAAATGCTTCAAGGTACATGAAAATCACAGGGCAGATAAAAAGAGAATCAAAGGACCAGACAAGAAATAGAAAAACAAATTGTGGGTAGGTTAGCCAGAGAATGTAATAAACTCTTTGAAGTAGAAAAGTATGACAGAGCCTCAAGACTTAGGAGAAAAAGATTTCAACCTGGGGTTTTCCCCCAAAGAACCAAGGTGAAAGATTATATAAAGGACTCATTTCAGCACACATCCCCACTCTCCTGGAATTTTTGTTTCAATGTCTCCTTGATCATCTTGGATCTTACGAGCTCATTCCTTAGTGAATTCTTCAGGAAGGACTCCAGAAGGACATTTCATAAATTCTTGAGTGTTGAAAGCAGTTTGTAGATGTGGTACATGGTAATTTGGACTGGATATAAAATCCTTGGCACACATTTTGTTTTCCTGAGTTTCTTAAATATATTACTCCCCTTACCTCTGGCATAAAACTTTATCATGCCTGATGGTGGTGGTGGTAGTCCTCCTCTCCCCAGTCTGTATGCCTTGATCTTATTTCCTGGATGCCCAAAGTGGTTTTTTCCTTTACTTTAAAGTCCAAGAATTTTACCAGAATGCATCTTGGTTTTTATTCAAACACCTTACCTCAAAAGGCTATATTTTTTCCCAAAAGATTATTAAAAATCAGCCAGAACAAGTATATTGACAACTGCCAGAAATTCAAGCTGGATTTATAAGAGGCCATGCACCAGGATATCATTGCTGTTCTTAGCAGAAAGAAGAGCACCAGAAGGATGTCTATTTGTGTTTTATTGGCTATACAAAGGCATTGGGATGTGTGGTTCACAATAAGTTAATGACTAACATTGAGAAGAACGGGAATTCAGAGAACTCTGTGCTTTTGTGAAATCTATACCTAGACGAAGAGATGGTTATCTGAACCTTTCTCATAACCTATTCAATCTCTATGCTGACTTTATGAAGAGGAATGTAGCATCAGGGTCAGAAGACAACTTATCAACAACCTATGTTATGTAGATGACATGACCTTGCTTACAGAAAAGTGAGGAGGACCTGAAGGACTTCAAAATATAAAAACTATAGATTTTAGTGGACTGCCAGGAGAACAGATAGCTTTGTCCTGGAGAGGGTGAATTCAGGCTGCTCCCTAGAGGCAAGGATTTTGAGGCTCCATTTCAAGTAATTTGAGCATGTGACCAGGAGGGACCAGTCCTTGGTGAGGGACATCATGCTTGGAAGGGTGGAGGGACAGTGGAAGACCCGGATGAGATGGATTGACATGGTGACTGGAGAAATAGGATTAGGTCCATCAGAGATGATGAGATTGGCTCAGGATACGGGAGGTTTCAGAGCTAATGTACATAAGATTGCTATTAGTCACAGGCAACTTGATGGCACATAACAACATAGACTTCAATATAGATTTCATCTCATCATTATGAAAGTGAAAGAGAGCCTCCCACTGGGCCAGTGGACAACGTGAGGATAGATGGAGAAAAGATTGAAAATGTCAATGATTTCATCTTCTTTGGATACACAGTCAGCACCCTTGGTACCAGAAGTTAAAAAATCAAAAGATGTATTACACTGGGACAGTCTGTTATCGGGGATCTCTCTAAAGTGCTGAAGAACAAGGATGTCAGTTTAAAGACTAAGATACCTGAATCAAGCCATGGCCTTTTCAGTTATATGCTACACATCTAAAAGTTGGGCAGTGACTAAGGGTGACAGAAGAAGAATCAATGCTTTTGAGTAGTGGTGTTGGAGAAGAGTACCGACTATCCCATAAACTGCCAAAAACATAAACAAGTCTGTCTGGAGAAAGCAACCATGCTGCTTCTTGGAGGCCAGCATAGTGAAGTTTTGTCTCACTTATTTCAGGCATGTTGTTAGGGGGGTGCCAATCTAGGAAGATCAATTTGGTAAGATGGATTTACACAAGGACTATATATAGGCTCAGGTTTATCAGGGAGGTTGAGGATGGCACAGGCGAGGGCCAGGATCAGATCTGTTGCTCACAGGGTCACTGTAAGTTGCAGTAGACTCCACAGAACAGAACCACCACCACAGCAACAATCTTGGTACTGGCCATTCCGGGTCAATTATTTCAGGTACAGAGTGTGCCCTTTCAATATATTCTTTCTGAAGCAGTTTTTTTTCCCGAGACAATTTTTAAACATCATTCAGAAAAGGTTTTTTTTATAGTTACAGTTCTTATTATTTTATTCTCTTGCTAGTGCTGTGTTTTTTTCTTCTTTGGGGAATTACATGCATGTTAGGTCTTTATTTTATATCCGTGGTTTTCTTTAAAATCCTTATTATCTCTTCATTTCCTTTTGGCTTTAAATATTTTTATCTATTATTCCTCTTAAGATGCTGTATTTGTTTTTGTGTCCTTCTAGTTTAGTCTGTCTTTTGGAAAGGTTTGTTTTTCTTTTACGTCTATTTCTTTGCACAACAACAATCTGCCATCTTCAGCAGTTTTATAATTCTGATGGATGCTGTTCTTTTTTTGTCTCTTTTGGTTTATTTTGACAGTTTTCATCACTTTTGTAGGTATGTATTTCTGGTTAGCTTTTGTAGTATTTGATTTCAGCCCTTTTCTGTTACTTGTTTTATGTGAAATTAGTTTTCTTGAACTTACTTGAGTTCTTATTAAGTTTATGGCTGTCGACCTCCCTCTTCTGGTGATTCTGTGAAGTGGATTTTTTCCCCCTCTCGTCTCTTCTCCACCCATTTTTGTATGAACTTTTGTATCTTTTGTCCCTGCAGAACTTTTCAATTTGAATTCTGCTTTCAACTGTTTATTAGTGTGGGACTTTGTCCTAGAAGAGAGCTTTGCCTGGTTCATTTTCAGAGTTGATAATACTCAGACTTCTTCAGCGCTGTAGACCTTGCTGCAAACCCGCATGGAAAACCTCGCCCACATTCAGCTACAGTTTTGCCAACTGTCCTAGATTTCTGTTAAGGACCTATTAACTGCTGTGATCAGATGCCTTATTATTATTGTCTTTTCCTGCACAGTTGCTGATACCTTGAGGTCTTTAAATTTACATTTGGAGAATCCCAGGAATGTCTGGGTTTGTTTGGGTTTTTTTCCTCTTTTATTTTGTAGCTGTTTTCCATAGGCTTTTTTTGGCTTTGAAGTCCTAGTTTCTATTTTTATAAGGATTTTGAATAATTAAAAAACTGCTGCCATATTCCAGGAATTAAAGCATAAAACTAAATGATGGAATTAAGGAATACCATCAGCTCTCTAGGGAGTGATGCTGCTGGTCCACAGACCATGCCTCTCTGGTGGTTCATATCTAGCAGTGGCTCCAGGGAGAAAGATGTACAGCTTACATGATTTACAGCCTTAGAAATCCAGCTGGGGGTTCAGCTATTCAATTCCAACTCCACAGCAGTGTGTGTGAGGATAGCATAATTCACTTAAATCAATCTTGTAGTGACCATTTATGTTGTTTTCAATTCTCATATGCAGTTTAGTCTCTGTTGAATACTTTTGTAGACTAATCTTTGAATACATATCAGGTTATTTCTTAAGATTAATTCTTCAAGACCCTTTTATCTTTAGAGCAGTTTACACTTACAAAGAGGAGAAAAAAGGGAATGATATGGTTTCTGGTGCAAATTCTCCTTCAGAATGCTTGCTTACACCAGTTTGTATTTCCTTAAGAATGTAGTGGAGAGCTCTAGTAGCCTAATCCATGGGAAGTTGCACTGCTGACTAAAAAGCCGTGCTTCCCTAGCAGTTTGAATGTATCAGTAGCTTCTCAGGACAAAGATGAGTAGGGGCCTCTATTGCGATATGTAGCCTCAGACGCCCAACGGAGGGTTGGCTGTAAATCAGTTCCAACTCAGTGGCCGTGAGTTGAGTGGCGCAGCTTATTTTTAACTAGCCTTTTAATAGTACTGATTATATTAGTAAATGTACATATATTTATTAAGCTGGATGCCTATAAGCACAAAGAATCATCTCAGCTAGTTAGAACTTGGACTTTTAGAAATTTCACCTATATAAAATAGCTAAGACACAGGAATTTAGTTAATGAAACGAAATTTATGAGTTGCCAAAAAGAAATGTTGCAGAAGCCACAGATTAATGCATGTACCATAATAATAGGAGACTTCGTTCAAGCTCACACTCGGGTCTGCTATCCCTCTATTATTAGTTACATTTCTAAATTACTCTGAAAGAGGATAACACTATCTTGTGTTGTTTTGCAGTGACAGTTATGTGATAGTAATGACAAAGAAAAAGGAGAAATCATTAATGACTTGATTTCTAGATATAGCTTACCTTAAAGTAGTAGACTAGAAGTCAAATAAAAATAATATAGGTGTATGGTCTCAGTATTGGCAGTAGCTCTCTTACTACTCCTGTATATTTATCTTTCAAGTCATAGATCTAGATACATTATAACCAAACTAACATAACTAACTCATGTAGTTACTATAGTTTACGCTTTGTTACAATTTTTTCTCTTTTGAAAATCTTTTTTTGGTTTATCTAGAAATCAACATTGAATGACACTGAATATTTTGTGTAATCCTCTATACTGTGTATATTTAATTGTACAAACAAAACTTGATTTTTTAAGAAGGTAAAACTTACAACCAAGTGAAAAAGAAGAAAATTAAAATCATGCATAATTCTACTGTCTGAAAATAAGTGATCTCATTCTTGAGATAGATAGATAGATAGATAGATAGATAGATAGATAGATAGATAGATATAACTTTTTACTGTGATTTGGGTAAAAGTTTACAGAGCAAATTGGTTTTCTGTACAATTCATACCCCTTATATTTGTGACATTGATTACAGTCCCCACTGTGTAACAACACTTTCCCCTTCCTCCTTGTGTTTACCGTTCTCACTAATCCTTCTTTCCTAGCCATTGCTATCTTCTGAGCTTTATCCCTGGGCAAATAGTATTCTGTCATCACTTAGTGATTGTTCTAAGGTGTGCATATTTTGCTAGTGTTTTGTTTACTTCATTGATGCCACTTGACTGAAAAGTATTAAAGAATTCTGATGTCCTTGTATTATTTTTTGGAGATGATATGATATTCACTTAATTTGGACTTTATAGACTCAAATTATGTTTGCTAAAAATTTTATGGAGTAATACAGAGTAGCTTGAACACATACATCAAATTTGCCCTCTCCTTTAGGAGGGGCTATTCCTTGGAGAGGGACATAATGCTAGGAAGGGTGGAGGGTCTGCAAAGGACAGGAAGACTCTCAACCAGGTGGATTGATATGGTGACTGCTGCAATGGGTGCTTGTGTGTTAGGAAGTATGAGGATGGTGCAGGATAGAACAGGATTCAGGTCTTTTGTTCATAAGGTTGCTGAGTCATACTTGACTCAACAGCACCTAATAGTAACAACATATGTAGTTAAAATGATAGTGATTTTTTTAAGGTCCACAAAGAGGGAAATAGAAAAAGAAACAGCAATAACATTTTGAAAACCTATAGTAGATCTCAGCACACTGGGACCTCTCCTAAGTACTGAGGAGCAACGACATCAGGCTGGAGACTAAGGTGCGCCTGATCTAGGCCATAGCTTAACAGTTGTGTGCTATGTGTCAGAGAGCTGGACATTGATGAGGGATGATAGAAAAAGAATTGATGCCTTTGAGCTGTGCTGCTGGAGAAGAGTATTGAATATATCATGGACTATTAGAACAACCAAGTTCGTCCTGGTGAAACTGGGCTGCTCCCTTGGAGTCAAGCATTCTGAAGTTTCCTCTGATATACTTTGGGCATGTTGTAAGGAGGGATCAGTCCTTGGAAAGGGACATCATGTTTTGAGGGGGGCGAGTGGAGAGACAGCACAAGAGAGGAAGACCCTCGATGAGATGGGTTGGTTCAGTGATTGGGATAATGAGAGTAGGTGTGTTGGAGACAGTGAGGTTGACACAGGACAGAGCAGGGTTTAGGGCTTTTGTACATAGGGTTGTTATGAGTCACAAGTGACTCAACGGCACATAACAACATAGTAGATGTAAAAGAACCTAGCTCCATGTAGTGCCATTGAGTCAATTCTGACTCATAGTGACCCTCAATCATGCTTCTGAGGTTGTAAATCTTTATGAAAGCAGATTGTCTCATTATTTGTCCCAAGAGGTAGATTCAAACTGTTGACCTTTTGGTTAGCAACCTAACACATAGAACATGATTGTACCCAGAGTCATTGAAGAGGATGTATATAAAATCCATTTGTTATTCTCAGAATAGTAGACTATATGATTTGGTTTCTGACTGGATAGTACACACAACAATAGCAGTCTCTTAAGAACTGTCAAGACAGTAAACTTACTCCTGTTTTAGAGGAACTGTCAAGTGCTGTTAAAATCAAAACACGAATTAAATGTTCATTTCTAATGGAATTTTTCATATTAAAATTCTAAGTAGTCTTTCTTTATGATCTTACCCCTTTTAGGCTGGATCAGTGCATGTAAGAATTCGACGGGATGCAAATGAACAAATGGTTCTGGCTCATGTGACCAACAGGCTGTACACGCTGGTGTCTACTCTGACAGTTCAGATTTTCAAGGATGATTGGAACAGGCCTCCCTTATTGTCTGGGCCTGTTGCAGCCAATGTCCTAAACTTTTCAGATCATCATATAATATCAATGCCTTCTTTAAAGGGTGCTAATGATTTGACTCCTGCCACATCGACTCCAGCTAAACCTAGTAGTCCACCTCCAGAATTTTCATTTAACACCCCTGGGAAAAATATGAACCCAGTTATTCTTTTAAACACACAAACAAGACCTTATGGTTTGGGTCTTAACCATGGATACATGCCTTACAATAGCATGCTTAACCAAGGACTTGCAATTCCAGGAATTGGAGAAACCCAAGGATTCAGGACTGGTTCTATAAATATGCCAAGTAGATATGGAACGAACAATAGAGCCGGACAGCCAAGACCTTAATGAACTTCACTTTACTTTATTTTTATGAGAACTTTTGGCTCCTTGAGCTTTGATTTCTTGTTGTTCAATGTTGCATTGACTATTCATTTACTCTAAATGTTAGAGAATACTCATCTTGTTCGTATTTCATGAAGCCTGTGAAATGATATTTTTGTAAAATGGATTTGAGATAATGAGATCCTTCAAAACCTCATGGGCTTTAAATGGACTTGCTTTAGAAAGTCTTTTTCTCTAAATTTGAATTTTGCTATTTGAAGTATTGTAGTTGACTGCTAATGTGGACATTAGCTTTTTAAGAGAACTACCTGAGAGAGTGGTTCCTGCAGTGCAATTAATAATGCTTATTTTCTTCAGTGATGTATAAACATGATCCTGAATAAGTAACAAATTATAGGAAAGAAAAAGCTGAAAGCAAAAATCAGTTTTATGGCTTTTTAAACTCCATTGCTGTATTTTTCTTGAGGGCCTCCTGACTTACGTGTTGCAACATAAAAACAAAACTTTTTAGACACTTTAGGGCACATTCTAATACCTGTCGAAGTTTAAAAAATGTTACTTGTAAGACCTTTTCCCCCTTTAGTTTTTAATATTTTTTCTTTCACTTCTTCCTCTAGTATTAAAATATTTTAGAAAATTATAAATAATCTGTGGTTCTCAGTGTTTGATTTTGGTTACATGAATACCAAATCCTCTGTTCGTGTGCAATGAAAGAGTACCAGTTATTATTATTTTTTTTAATCTTTACATGTAACTAAATACTTACATGCTGTTGGAATAGATAATTTTTGTCAACTTTTTATTATTTGACTTTTAAAAGTAAAATTTATAAAATATGAAAATGTATGAAAGTCCATACATATTATGGAATGTGGTATCTTTTCAGAGTAACATAAATAATTTTGAGTTTACAAGATATAATTTTATCAAAACACAGAGACTTTCAATTATGTAATATTATTGGTTCTACAGCAGATCATTTCTAGCTTTATCATTTTCTTTGTCAGAAACAGTGAATTGTTGTCTATTAAGAAATAAGAGAATCTTGCATATTATTTATTTATTAATTTTCAAAAATTAAATGCAAATTTTCCAAATGCAAGTTTTAATGATTTCCATTGTGATCTGTATTCCAAAAAAAAATATAAGTAGCAGTCAGAAATTTTTTATGAGCTTTATTAATTTCATCTTGTATTCTTTGAAAAGGAGATTTTGAGAGTAGATTATAATCTTCCTTGAGTCTAGTACTCCTAGAGACTTACAAGTTTGCCAGCTGTTGGCCAGCTATGTAGAAATTTTTTATTTTGTAAAATTTGGAACCATTTAGTCACTTAAATATGAGCAACACTTCCAAATTCCGTTTCCTCACAGTGGTTGTTGTCATTAGGTGCTGTCGAGTTGAGTAAGACTCACAGTGACTGAACTGCAGACCTGAACCCTTTCCTATCTTGTACCATCCTCATAATTTCAGACACAGTCGAGCCCATTGCTGCAATCACTGTGTCAATCCACCTCATTGAGAGTCTTCCTCTTTTGCCATCACTCCACGTTTTCAAGCATCATGTCTTTCTCCAAGGAATTGCCTCTCCTAACAACATGCCTGAAGCATAAGATGCAGCCTCATCATCTCTGCCTCCGTGGAGGACTCGGGGATGTACCTTCTTCAACACAAACCTTTCCTTTTGATGCTCCATGGTATATTCTGTACTCTTCACTAAAACGACAGTTCAAAAGCATCAGTTAATTAATCTGTCATCTTTATTCCTTGTCTAATTCTCAAATGCATATCAAGTGACTGAAAAGACAATAACCTAAATGTTTTTCTTATTGCAAAAGAATTTTTGCAATGGTATCATTGCTTCTCAATAATTTGTAGAAGTCCTAACTGCATACTTTCCCAGGACAACATGTCTCCTGATCTCCTGACTGCTGTACCAAGTGAACAGATAATGAATCCAAGTTGATAAAGATAAAGCTGTTGACAGTTTCAGTCTTTTCTCCCTCTATCGTGATATTGCTTATCATTCTAGGGGTGAGAAATTTTGTTTGCTTGAGCTTGGGATCTAATCCATTTTGAAGGCTGCAGTGTTTGCAGCAAGCACTTCAAGTTACCTCACTTTTGGCAAGCAAATTTGCATTATCTCCATACCAAAGATTATTGATGGGTCTTCCTCTGATCCACTTGCCACTTCCTTCATAGAGTCCAAATTCTCAAATTTTTGCTCGGCATACAGTTTGAATAGGTATGGAGGATACAACCCTGACACACTCCTTTCTTAATTTTAAACAATGTAGAATTGATGCCTTTGAGCTGTGGTGCTGGAGAAGAGTGTTGAATATACCATGGACTGCTTGGAGAACAAACAGATTTGTCCTAGAAAGGGTGAAGCCAGGCTGGGAAACAGGTTTGTCCTGGAGAAGGTGAAGCTGGAATACTCCTTGCAGTCAAGGATTCTGAAGCTTTGTCTGACATACTTTGGGCATGTTGCAAAGGGGGACCAGTCCTTGGAGAGGTACGGCGCAGGAGAGGGATCCTCGATGAGATGGATTGATTCTGTGATTGGGGTGGTGGGAGTAGTAGGTGTGTCGGAGACAGTGAGGTTGGTACAGGATAGAGCAGCATTTAGGGCTCTTGTACATAGGGTTGCTATGAGTCACAAGCAACTCTCTGGCATATAACAAGAAGAAGTGTTCCCTTGCTTTGTTCACACACAGTTTCTCAGTACCCCTCATAATAGAGTAACATCAAAAAAGTTATCTCAGACAAACAGAATTGCAGGTAACTGGTGATAAAGTGTTGAGGACTCTCCTCGCTATGAGTCACCTGCGACTCAACGGCATTTGACGACGATGATGGTGATAATATGTGGCCATGTTTGCATATTGAAGGATCAGTTTGTTGTTTTTACATCTACAGCCCTACACGTGCATCTGTTCAAGTTAGAGACAATATGATTGGCACAGGATAGAGCAGGGTTTAGGGCTGTTGTACATAGGGTCGCTATGAGTCACAAACAGCTCGGCAGCACATAACAAGAAACTGAAGAAATAACGGCACACTCTACCAAACTGCTAGGGAACATGAAATTATGTAAAATGTACAAAAGCAACTTGTTCCTTACCCTTTGTTTTGTGTTCTTTGACAATTACTGTTCCTATTACTGGTCTAATAATGTGCAGTGATTTTTTTTTCCTCTCTTGACTTTGTATAATGGTGAATTGGTGAATGCATGAAGTCTGAAGAATTGCTGAATGATGACCAGTAGGTATGTGCTACCACTCCACGCATGTCTTCTTCATCCTCAATGGGATTTAGAAAGAGGTCAGGTTTAACCACAGTTCCACATGTGGTCCCCTGTTCAGAGGCAACACCTGCACAGCTGTCCCACCAAAGGTACTTTAATGTTTACCTACAGTGTTTGACACTGGGTACTCAGATGTGCTTCTGTTTCTAAAGATCCCACTTTTTGAGGTTCATTAATTCCAATTGCTGCAGGGTGAGGTTGACTCAGGCCTTATTATATAGTTGTTATGTGCTGTCGAGTCACCTGCAACTCATAGTGACCCTATTATGTACAGCAGCTCTGAAGCCTGCCCTATCCTGAGCCAGTCTCACTTATTCTGAGATACCTACCTCCATTGCCCTAGTGACTGTATCAGTCCTTTTCATTTGGGATCTTCCTCTCCTTCACTGTCCCTCCACCCCTCTGAGCACAATGTCCTTCTCCATGGATTGGTCCTTCCTGGCCACATGCACAAAGTATGTGAGACAGAACTTCAAAATCCTAGCCTCCAAGGAGAAACTTGGTTTCACCCTCTCCAAGTTAGACTTGTTTTCTTGGTGGTCCATGGTCCAAGACTCTTCTCCAGCACCACAACTCAAAGGCATCATTTCTTCTTCTGTCATCCTTAGTCATTATCCAGCACTCTGATGCAGATCAAGTAATTGCAAAGATCTTGGCCTGGGTCAGGCTCACCTTAGTCTCTAGAATGATACCGTTGCTGCTCAGTATTCTGGAAAGATCCCTGACAGCCGCTTTACCCAGTGCAATTTGTCTTGATTAACGGGCTGCTGGCACCAAGAGTGTTGACTGTGGACCCAAGCATCCTGTAACTGGTAACATCCTTAATCTCTTCTCCATCCATCTTGGTGCTGCCATTTGGCCCAGGAATGATATAGAAAAGTCTTACTTGCTAAGCTCTGGCTTCATTTCTGAGTATGAAAGCAAGGGCCTTTGCCAGCAAAGGCCTTAGATTTAGCCCTCTTCACGGAGTCACTTGAAGGTAGACCAAGAATGAGGTTTGAATGATATGTTTGGACCATGGTTTATGATTGAGAGCAAGCTTTGTGAACTATTTTTAGCCTGTTTTGAGTAGTCACTGTATTGTAATGGAAAAAGTACTGAACTAAGAGGCAAAGATTTGGATTTTAGTTTTGATTCTGTCACCGTGGAAGAAAGTTTAGCCATTTAACCTCTCTGAGCTTTCTCATCTGTAAGACAGGAAGGGATTGAATTAGTTTATCTGTAAAATAGCATCTCTAATGTTTTATAACTGACTGCAGAATATATGCCACTTAACAGATTATTGTTTGCCCAAAATTTGTTTACAGTGACTACCTCAAAATATGGCCAAATATTACTTACACAGACACACTATTCTTTCTTCCCCCCTTAAACGATAAGGCAATTCCCTTCTGTTAGGATTGTTGTTGTTGTTATACAGTAAAACCTCCAAAAGCTGGAACCGTGTGAGGCAGAAACCTGTCAGAAAAGAAAAACACACAGTATTTTCCACTAAAGGGAGCAACAGAAACTTATTAAGACTGTACTTTGTCAAAGGTGAAAACCTGTGAGACTCAAAAAACAAGGCAGGTCCGTTAGGTTCTGGCTCTCATAGGTTTCACTGTATCTTTGAAATTAAGCAGGAAAACAAAACAACACAAAACAAAACCCACTCTGTTGACAAATATACAGCGAATTCACTTCATTCTTCAAAAGGACTGAAATCAATTTTCATGAATATGAAGAGCTGGAAAGTTTTCTACTTTCCGATTTATTTGTAGACTATGCAGCAACTTTGTTGTCTGTCTTTCAGAAAGCGGTATGATCGATCCAGACCTTTTAGGGCCCAAAAGCTGTGGTTTTTCTATATTCAAAATCTGCAAACTCTGCCCCCACAACCTCCTGTGAATCCACCACGAAACCCTCAAGGGCTGGCGAAGATGCCACCCCTGCCACTTCCACACTCTCTGCCTCCCACGAAAGTCAAGACCTTGTCAGCCTCGGTAGCCCCCATGGCCACTGTTTGGGCAAAGTGGGAATCCTAATGTTTCAGCATT